GGCCCGAGGACCGAGCCCTGCGGAACCCCACTGCCCACGTCCTTCCAGGTTGAGAAGGACCCATCCACTACCACCCTCTGGGTGCAGCCCTCCAGCCAGCTGGTGATCCATTTTTCTGTGTGGGTGTCTACACCACAGCCCCCCAGTTTCTTAATGAGAATGGGGTGAGAGACAGTGTCGAAAGCCTTCCGGAAGTCCAGGAAGACTATGTCCACTGCTACCCCTGCATCTAATGATCTGGTGATCTGATTGTAAAAGGCCACCAGGTTGGTCTGACAGGACCTGCCACTGATGAACCCATGTTGGTTGCCCCTAAGCATGCAGTCCCCTTATGTGCCTAACAGATGGAATAGAATATGACTCCATATGAGGCCTGCAAAGTCTAGGAATTTTAAGAGGCAATGGAAATCTTGAATTCAGTGGTTCATGTGCTTGTATTTATGGTTTGTTTTAGTGTGCCAGTTCTTACAATACTGTCTGAACTTCTGGATGTGAATAGGGCTGTGGAAAGCTTCAGTCCCTGATTTGATTCGGTAGAGGTTTGGCCCCATTCGGTGGCCGAATCTCCAAATGCAAATCAAATCAGGAGACCCTTTAATCTTTCCGAATTGAATCAGAACTCTCCAAATTGATTCAGAGGGATTCAGAATCATTTGGAAATTCGGACATAGACACAGCTTTAAATGTTTTTTCTACATACTACTAGGTAGCAGGTGGCTTGTGAATGCTGCAATGGTGGGGTGGATGAAGCATCCCACAGGAGTGCAGGGGGTTCCCCAGCAGACTTGGCAGCAGACCCAGAAGCGGACCAGAAGCACTTCCGGTCCACTTTTCAGGTCTGCTGGGGTCACACTGGGGGCCCCCTGCAAACCCTACCTGGCTTGGGGACTGCTGCCTCCTGGATCTGAGGGGCTCCTGGGGTCCCCCCATGGCCAATTGCTGAGCTGGGGGAGCATGGGGGGGTCCCTTGCAATCTCCCCATTGGACCGGGAAATGGACAGGAAATACTTCTGGTCTACTTCCAGACTCACTGCTGAGCATGCGAGGGGCCCCCCATACTCCTGTGGGACCTCCATCTGCCCCGGCATCGCAGTGTTCATGAGCTGCACCTGGTACCTTGAGGTATGTAGAAAAAACATTTAAAGCTGTGTCTATGGCCGAATCACTGGTTCTCCAAATCAGCATTGAATCTTCAGATTCGGATTCAGCTGAATCAAATTGGGGACAGTGATCCGAATCAATTAATCAAATCACTGTCCCGGATTCAGGCCGAATCCAAATTGAATATGGCCTGCTTTTCACACCCCTAGATGTGAATTCAGTCATACAATCATAGAGGAGTAGGGCTGGAAAGAACTTCTATAGGTCTTCTAGTCCAACCCTGTCCCAGAGGCAGGGTCATCCCTATCCAAACCATCCTATACAAATCCACTGAACATAACCTCCAAAGAAAACTACACAGGCAACCCTGACACAGCACAAGACATAATACCCTAATCTGGTACAGGTAAAGCAGGGGGGCCACAGCGGCCAGTGGTTGTTAAAATATGCTTGAGAGATCCAAGGATGGAGGCCATACCTCCTACTACAGAGAAAGGCAACCCCACCCCCCACTGTCCATATCAATATGACTATGGTGTAAAATTCCTTCCTGATCCCAAATATGGCAATTGAAAACGTTTGAAATGTTCCTATCACTAATTTTGGCTTTTCTTTGAGTTAATCAGTTGCTGTGTGTTTTGCTGTTTGTGAGTATGTGAAGGAGGTTGTTTGAAGGGATTACAATAGTTGCAGACTTGCATCTTGGAACTTTGCTCTGTTTTTCACTATTGACTCTACTATTTGTATTATAGCAGTAGGACAGGCCCCGATGGAAACAGGTCCGATTGTACTAGGTACTGTCCATACTTAAACCTGCAGCCTGGAAGTGCTTATTGTCTAATGTCAGCTAACTTTTTCTGTTTGTTTATATAAATCAGTGTGTTTTCATATCTACAGGTTGTCTCTGCGCTGACTGAGTTTGTAATAGAAAATCTTGGAAAACAATTCATAGAGAATCCCCCAGTTGACCTGGGAACTCTTTATCAAGACATGTCCTCTTCCACTCCTCTAGTATTTATCTTAAGCACAGGCTCTGATCCCATGGGAGCTTTTCAGAGGTTTGCAAAAGAGCGAGGATATTCAGAACGGTATGAATTACATTGTTACAGTGAAGAATTAGGTTTTTAATGGAAATTAGGCCCCTAATTCTCTTAGGCCTCTTCAAAAATACCAATCTCTGGTTTTCCAGCATATTTATTTTTTGTTAATTACACTGTAGCACATGCCCCCTGGGCAAAACCCTGGCTATATTGAAGTTGATGAGATTTATCATTATTTTCAATGAAGCTGGAATTTCATTCTTTATATGTGAATATATATTAAAGTTAATTTATGTAGTTCTGCAAATTATGTACTATACCAGTGTTTCAGAGTATGACTTTCAGAGGTACACTATGACTTTCTTTATGCTGCTGTATATCCTTTCATTTTGAGGTCTAAACGGGCCAAGAAG